CCCCCCCTTCCCCCCAGGTGCTCTCCTTCCCTGATCATATCCCCCTCACCCCCCTCCCCCCTCCCCCCCCGGCACAAAATCTATGAATTCGTGATCACAAACCGAGAATCGTTGATGTCCGATTTGAACTTTTCTCTTAACGAACCTCATCCCACGTGACCGGCGCTGCCTTTGTGTCTGCTTCGGTTGGAGGACAGAAGGGTATTTATTTATTAATTCATTAATCTTCTCCTCCGCCATTCGCGTCGTCTGTTCGTCTGTCTGTTTAGCCATCTTTTTCATTAATCATTAATTTTTAATTTTTTCATTTTTTTTCATATTAATTCTTTTAAATATTTTTTATTTTCTTTATAATTCTTTAATCTTCTTCGCTATTCCCGTTGTCTGTTCGTCTGTCTATCTCCCTGTTTAGCCATCTTTTTCATCTATCATTAATTCTTATTTTTTCATCTTTTTTTCATATTCTTTCTTTTAAATATTTTTCATTTTTTTCATAATTCTTTAATCTTCTTCACCATTCCCGTTGTCTATTCGTCTGTCTGTCTCCCTGTTTAGCCATTTTTTTATTAATCATTAATTCTTATTTTTTCATCTTTTTTCATATTCTTTCTTTTAAATCTTTTTCTTTTTCTTCATAATTCTTTCATCTTCTCCGCCATTCCCGTTATCTATTCGTCTGTCTATCTCCCGGTTTAGCCATTTTTTTCATTAATCATTAATACTTATTTTTCATCTTTTTCATATTCATTCTTTTAAATCTTTTTCATTTTTTTCATAATTCTTTAATCTTCTTCGCCATTCCCGTTGTCTATTCGTCTGTCTGTCTCCCTGTTTAGCCATCTTTTTCATTAGTCATTAATTCATATTTTTTCATCTTTTTTTCATATTCTTTCTTTTATATCTTTTTCTTTTTCTTCATAATTCTTTATTCTTCTTCGCCATTCCCGTTATCTATTCGTCTGTGTATCTCCCTATTTAGCCATCTTTTTCATTTATCATTAATTCTTATTTTTTCATCTTTTTTCATATAAATTCTTTTAAATATTTTTCATTTTTTTCATAATTCTTTAATCTTCTTCGCCATTCCCGTTATCTATTCATCTGTCTATCTCCCTGTTTAGCCATCTTTTTTTCGTTTATATCGATCTTTCGTCTACTGCACTACAACAGTTTTTCATACTTGAGTAAAAAAAAAAAAAAAAAAAAAAAAAAACTCACTTACCCGCTATTCAAGAAATTCATAAGCCTGTCTATCTTCCTATCTTATTTTTTTCATATATATAGATTTTTAGTCTATTGTACTACGATATACCTATCTTTATTTCATTTATCTATTCTTTCTTTATCTATCTATCTTGTATTTATCTATTTTTTCTTTATCTATCTATCATGTATTTATCTATTTTTTCTTTATCTATCTATCTTGTATTTATCTATTTTTTTCTTTATCTATCTATCATGTATTTATCTATTCTTTCTTTATCTATCTATCATTTATCTATTCTTTCTTTATCTATCTATCATGTATCTATCTATTCTTTCTTTATCTATCATGTATTTATCTATTCTTTCTTTATCTATCTATCATGTATCTATCTATTCTTTCTGTATCTATCTATCATGTACTTATCTATTCTTTCTTTATCTATCTATCATGTATTTATCTATTCTTTCTTTATCCATCTATCATGAATTTATCTATTTTTCATTTATTTATCTATCTATTTATCTATTTAATCCATACAAACTCACTGTATACAACAGAGGCATCCAATGCATAGGCCTACATGGAGTACACAGACAGTACACAGATCACTCACTCTACGCACGATTGAACTTTCAAATGAAATAAACATTTACAAACCAAAGAAAATGTGAGAGTGTCGCAAAGATACTCTCCCCCTCCACAATGCGAAGAAGATGACGAAGAGGAGGAGAAGGAGGAGGAGGAGGAGGAGGAGGAGGAGAGGGAGGAGGAGGAGGAGGAGGAGGAGGAGGAGGAGGAGAGGAGGAGGAAGCATTGTTTTCCTCCCCAGCTCTCTCCTCTTCTCTTTTCTTTCTTCTATCAGTCCTTCTCGTCCCTCTTCTTTCATTCGTCCTTTTCCCTCTCCCTCCTCCTCCTCCTTCTCTCCCCATCCTCCTCCTCCTCCCCTCCTCCTCCCCTTCCCCCTCCCTCCTCTCCCCCCCTCCCTTCTCCCCCCTCCACCCCTCCTCCTCCTCCTCCTCCTCCTCCTTCTCCCCCTCCCCCCATTCTCTCCTCCTCCTCCTCCTCTCCCCCCTCCCCCTCTCCTCCCTCTCCTTTCTCCCTTCCTCTCCCCCGTCCTCTCCTCCTCCTCCTCCCCCTCCCCACCCCTTCCTTCTCCTCTCCCTTCTCCCCCTCCTCCTCCTCCTTCCCTGGCCCCATTTTTCTCTCTATGGCGTGCATTTCCTCCTCAAAACGTATGACTTCGAGGGGGTAGGGAGGGGGAGGGGTATCTTGGGAATGCCTCCTTCCCCCCCCCCCCCCCCCTTCATACCCGCATCTCAGCTGATTGCGGACCTTATGACTCTTGGCAGACATCTTCATCACTTTCATCACCGTCATTTGTACTGTTTCGTCGACAAAAAGCAACAATAAAAACTACGATGATGATGATGATGGCAATGATGGTGGTGGTGGTGGTGGTGGTGGTGATGATGGTGATGATGATGATGATTGATGGTGGTGGTGGTGGTGGTGGTGATGATGATAATGGTGGAATGATTGATGATGATGGCAATGATGATGATGATGATGAATATGAAGATGAAAATGAGGGTAATGATGATAAAGATAATAATAATAACAGTAAAAGTTAAAGTTAAATATAATAATAATAATAATAATAATAATAATAACAAT